CCCCAAAACCCCAAAACCCCAAAACCCCAAAACCCCTTTAAGGAAGGAAAGGATTGAGATATAATTATTAACTAGAAAACAAGTAAGCCCTATTACCATCAGTTAGCTAAGTGAGGCCCTTTGGTACCCCTTCAAATTCTGATCACTGTCACTTATCTCTTCTCTTCTTTAATCTAGAGGCTTTACAAGTCTAATTTAGCTGTTTAGGAATAATAGAAATGAAGATGATTCTAAATCAGAACATTACAGCACTTAATAAAAGTAGGCTAGTCTTTATATATTGAGGCATCTCTAAAAGACTTGCGAACCCTTGTGTTAGTCCCAAGTTGATATTATCTTGGCTACAAGCCAAAGTTTTTACATTAATAGCACACTAGGATATTCATAATAATCTAGTAATAGGAAGAGCAAGGCCAGGCTACTTTAGCCAAGAAGCTGTTGAAGTCATGAAAGAGTGGCTAGAATACAATTTGGCACACCCATATGTTAACTCGACTGATATCAAGAGTCTAACAGCTAAAACTGGCTTAACAAAGAAACAGATCATGGGTTGGTGCACGAATGCGAGAAGAGCAAGCTATTATCGCTTATTTTCTATTTTATATATCTTCTGTTCACTTATAGCTAATCATAAACCTATAGCGCAGACTTACAATTGTTAGAGATGCAAAAGGGCGCCCTCAGTTAGTTCCAATGAAGAATGCAGAGAAGGTAAGTAGAACACAATTTGGGTCAAATCCTTATTTTTACATTTAGAAAAGACAGCAGAATAAGCCAGGAGTTAGGAAGCCTATTATTTTATCAAAAGACAACAATGATGCTCAGAATGTTGGACTTGTTCCGTATTGAGGCACCACTAGAGAAAGTTCTAGCATAGAGGTGTCTTCGAATGGATATTATAAACCAGATTCTAACTTATCTGAATTATCTTCGGGACTCATCACTATGTGTAATAGTCATATCCCTGAATCTTTCCCAAATATTGATAGTTTGGAAGACGCTGCTGAAAATTTAAAGTTAAATATCTCGGATTATTGAACATCTTGGATGAATTGGGCAGATTATTCTCAATTCTGTCTGTGAGATTCATCAGCTCCACCAAAACATGTATAAACCTTGCATAATATAACTATTTAGGTTTGGGAGTTAAGGGGTTTTGGGGTTTTGGGGTTTTGGGGTTTTGGGG